TCGTTATGCCGTCGGTCGGTCGATGACGGACGGGGGCGGCGTAATGACGTCAGAGTTAACGCCAGAAAGGAACGAAGAGAGACGGAGAGAACGGTAGCGTCGCGACGCCACGGAGTTTGCGCGCGAAACCCGTGTCGTGCGTCAAGTTTGAATGAACTAGCCATCGCGATGGAATACTCGTGCAACTTCCGACGTCGTTGGATATCCTTTCACCGGAATCTCCTTTCTCGTCGATTACGCGAATTATCCAAAGGATCGTGTCCAACCGACGTGGACCATCCAACGTCTGCCACCACGATTCGTGAAAATCCGAGGCGCGAGAACATTTTGATGCACTGTTTCGTAGTCCAGGACAGCAGGAGGACAGAAGTCGAACGTTACGGTGTTTGCACCGTTTTCGGTACTTTCGCTGTCTACGAACGATCTAACGGCACGAACTATTTGTTTCGCGACCGGTTCGGATAAACCAAGTTGCGTACCATAATCGATTCTTCGAACGGCACGCCGATTCCTTCGGTATGCCGATCGATCGGCGAACAGAGGAGAGAAATTACGGAGCGGAGCGGAGCGGCGCGGCGTGAAAACTCGCGCGGAATACGCTTCCGCGCGGTGAAATCTATTTCAGGTGAAACAAGGCCGTGCGTCAGCCGGTCGCGTTACACAGTTTTTGCTCGGTTCGCCCGAATTACCATAAACCTGTCGAGCATGCGGCCACCACCGTCGAACGTTACACGCGTTGCATACGGCGTTCGTAATTATCCTTTTTTTCGTTCTCTATCCGTCCTTTTCTCTCCTGTCACCTTTGTCCAACAACTTTTGTTTCGTTTCTTTGCCTGTCTTTCGAAGCCGCGATCATTATCGAGCTACTGTTAATCAAGCGTGTTAAAACACAACGAATCGAGTCCTCCCGGTATTTATAGCGCCACCGTCTGACTACTGACCCTTTCACCGTTGGCACGCGCGTTCATATGCATCAACGTCACTTATCGATCCTACAGTCATTATGCGAGTCACAATCTCATTACTCAGAGCTCGAGTAATCTCTCTTTCTCGCCGTCGAACACGTTCTCTGTCGAGGTAATCAGCTTCTCTTGGCCGACGACTTGGCAGGAGAAGACGTCGTGACAATGATATTTCCTTCGTATCGCGGTTTTCGATTATCGACCGTTTTACCGTTCGGCGATGCTCGTCTTTTCGCTTTTTTCCTTTCTTCGCGCGCGAAACGACGAGTAATTTGACGTTACGCAACGAGGAAATTACCGTATGCTCGACGATCGATGTTTATCGACGAGTATCGGTTTCGATTAATTATAATTATCGCCAGGTTACCTCTTTCCTTCCCACGGCCGGCTGGAAACGTGTTGGCCAAGCTCGATGAAAGTCTCGTATTTTGCTCGAATCGCGTCGAAGAAACGGTTACATAATTGAAGAAGCGGCATAGCATTTATGCAATATGAATCGACGGGACCCGTGGTGCGGGCTCTTTCCATCCTCGTTCTTACACCTCGTGTTCCGGTCGCTTCCCGATCGCGTGTCCCGCCCTCGGAAACAAGGCTTATTCCCTTGCCACGAACAACCGTAAGCTCATGAAATACTTATCGCCGGAATCGAGCAGGAACTTGTCATCGCCCAACTTCTTCAATTCGATTCGATTCGATTCGATTCGATTCGATTCGATGTTTCAACGTCGATTACGAGTAAATTACGAGTAAAGTCTTACACCTAATCCCTGAACGGAGGATCCAAACTGTCGAAATTTCTGTAAATTCTTACAGGTAGAATCGCTATGGGAATTGCTTTTAAGATTTGCATTTCCGAGTCATGGACATCGGTCTTCGCGATAAATCGTCGGCCGTTTATCGTTCTAGCACGCCGAAAACGTGAAAAGTGTAAAGGCACGTGATACTCGATGTCGTAGTCATCTCTTTAACCCCCTTTGTGTCCCTGCCAAGCAGCCACGGATCGTCCGCCTCGCACGTATATTTAGTTTGCCCAGTAAAACAATGCAATTGGCCTCTAGGAAGCGCTGCTCGTTCCACGCGTGCTCGCCGTCAAAATACTATTCAATTTTACTCTTCGTCTACGCGTAACACGCTGGATTTTAACGCCAACAATTTTTCCAAGACAGTTACCGTTTTACGTTAACGGACACGCGACAATTATTACGAGCGGTAATACGTTGCATACTTCGTTATCGCCGTTAAACGACGTTCGACATTACGAATTTAATATAATCGAATAATAATTTCTAATATTCTATCGATTGTACGAAGCAGCGAGCAAAGGGGTCGAGCGGAAATACGGCGCGGTGTAATACCGAATAATCAGAATTGTAGCGTGTCGTATTCGTTGTAGCGGACGACGCGTTCGACGAGAAAAGTATCGGCGCGCGCGTATACGCGGCACGCGCTTAAAAAGAATTAAGTAGTTAAAGCCGTGCCAGCTCAGACGGCCTCCGATGCGCGTCTCGCTAATGTCTGAGTCTGATTGCACCTATCTACTTGTGCGCTGAAGCAGCGGCAGCGAACCAACCGAAGCAACTACGCGCGTTTATACTTGAGACCTATTAACGTACTCCGTTTCAAAGACACGTGTCACAGGCTTACACGATAAATCGACGATTTTCCACGAGGAAACCGTTCTCGAATTCTCTCTCTCTCTCCCCCTCTTTATCGTGGAAACGAGAAGCTGTCATCCCGACTGATTAGATTTCTCGATCGATATGTTTATCAAACGGTCTCCCCACTTGCTCGCACGGTTATCGGCCACGCTTATTTTTCCCTCCCCTTGTGAAACTTACATGCATCGCAATTACATGGCCACATAACATGGTCGTAACAAGCTACTGGACGAACTTATTGTCGACAGGAGGGAAACTTTGAAACGATACCGGGAACACGGGTAATCGTGTTTAACGCACGGAAGTCATAAGCATTGATTTACTTTACATTGTCACGGCCGTTATTCTCGCGAACCTGACAATCGGTTTTTCGCAATTCGACCACGCTCTCGACGCTCGAACACAACACAATACGCCGGTACCAGTGACCGCACCTGCACTATGCTTCACGCGCGGTTATATTTGTTCGTTGTTGCGCTCTCTTCTTTCCTGCGTGGCCAGGTCTCGTGCGGGCCAAGTATGTACGCGGAAAAGAAACGCCTGCCTTGCACTCGGCCGCCTGCCAGACTATATTTACCTTAACGTGCCAATTACACCTGTAAAAAGTACTTCTAGGCTCGTAAGCTATAACCGATCGAACTCGCCACGTATCGAACGTGGAATCTGTCGTTAAGTTCACGGAAACGAAAGCGTATAGTTATCTTCGTAAACTAGCAGGATTCGAAAGATGGAGGAAACGTAGTTTCGAGGAGAAAACGACGACGATGACGAAGATATGGTGGTGATTATGTGCGATAAAAATAAATCGAAATTTCAAAGCGGTTACCAACGAAAATAGAAACGTCGATCGTTGGATAAAATTTTCATAAAGAAATTCGTGATCTGGTTGCTTCGGTCCCGAGATTTTTCGTCTCCTTCTTTGGCTACGTCTCGTCTTCGCAACACCCATACCCATTATCTTTTCTCGTTTTTCTGTGGACGTCTCGCCCGTGACATCGAGACTGTACACGTCTCTGTAATAATTTGATGAGCATAGAAAGGTAGATAAAACAAGACAAGCTTAATTTACAGCAATTTACTTGGAAAAAAAAATGATAAAAAAGGAAAATACATTCGTCGCTTCGATCCATCTTCGTGATCGATGGCCGTCATCGTCATCGATGCGACGATCGCCACCGCCGCCACCACCACCGACACCACCACCACCACCACCATCAACAACACCACCATCATCATCGTCACCGCCACAACCACCACCACCATCACCACCACCTTTCAACCACAACCTGTCAGTCGTCAACGAGCACGTACGATCCTTTGTACGCGAGGATAAACTAAACGTAGGACGGTCCCAAAGCCTTTCCGTTGTCGTTTTGTGTTTTAGAAGCGACTTACACTTATTCCAGTGATCGTGGCGTTGCGCCCCTTGATGCTCGAAGTTCCGATGATGATCATGATTGTTGTTGGTGTCCGCCGCGATGGTGACCTGGTGGTACGGTGTAGTCGGTAGATGGATCGTCGTCGATCGATCTCGTTGATCATGATCGTGTTCGTGATCAACGATTAGATGCCTGCCAGTCGTGGTACGCTGATGGGTGGTCGCAGCACGAATCGCGGCTGCTTCCGTGGCTGTGTCCTCCACGGTACGCATCGCACGTACGATCAGCACTATCGCGCCTCGTTTTTACACGTTTCATTCACCGACAAGTGTCTCTTAAATGTTCTCGACTCGTGAACGAGGATCGATGGCCGCGTCGATCGCGACCATCCTACAGAACTCGTACTTTTTCTTTCTACTTTTGCTTCCTTTCTCGGCCAGCTTCTCGCTCTTCGTACGCGGCGCACGCGCGCACGTGCTCGATCGGACAGCTACTCGGAGAGAAGCGAGTTCGAAAAGTTGCACGTGGGTCAAGTCCGAATTTGATCTCAACGTTCGATAGAATAACGCGAATCGAGCAACGGAATTCGGGATCCGATCATCGTTGCCTCGACGATGCGTTTCGTCGATCGTACGACGATCGATAACGATTTCGACGACAGTTTCTATTCGATCTTTCGATTATCGAGACGTTGAACGAGATTGTCGGGGAACGAGAACGACGTCGACGACGAACGATGAATGAAAGCGAAGGCGAATGCGAATGGAGAATCGTGTCGACGAAAATTGACGGCCGATGATTCTCACGGTTCGTAAACACCGACGATATCGGGTAACGGAACGTGGAAATTCCTCGACCGTATAATTATCGACGCGAATGAAAATGAGAAGCGGAACAAGTACTCGTGCTCTACGTGATCCAGCCGCATCAAGCCGCACACACACAACTCACCCACAACACACGGATGAAGAAAACAGTGATGACACACGTGTATCACCAACCTGTCTGCGTGGTCGTAGGGCTAAACGGATCCTTCCAGACTACGTTTTCGGAGGTGAGCGCTCCACCGAACGGCCCGAACACTTCTGTCCTGGGTACTCGCATGCAGAATTCCGTTTTGTGAACTTCAAGATCTTCGAGATTATCGGTCCTCCGTCACGACGGACGACATCGTTCTCGCTGTTATCGTCGCAACGTTCTCCAAGTTTATCGTCGAGCGTGTCAACCGAATTTCACGATCGACTCCCTTCAGCATCGATCGCTGCACAATGTCCACCTGTTCGATCGTTGCGTCGAATATACCTTTTCCCGTCGGTTCGTCCGATCCGTTCGCAAAAGAACGATTTCAGCGGGAAGCCGCTTGAACGTAGCACGAGACACACCGAGTCCCGCACGCGGAAACCACGCGCGTTCGAACGTGCCAGTTGCGCCTCTCCCTCTCTTCTCGTTGGTCACGCGAAACTCAAACACAAACGTCCTTGGCTGCAACACCTTTTCTTCCTGGCTTTGCGTGTATAATCCCCCGCTTTTTTTTTCACTTGATACTCGTTTCACGTTTACCGATCGACTCGCACACGAGACACGGTGAAACCGAAACGGGGAACGGTCTCCTTTTTCCCTGGACGTACAACGAACACGAGTTACCGAAAGAAAAGAGCGGTGCGAGAGAACAGGGAGATTAACGAGGCAGAGAGAGAGCGAAGAGAGAAAACAGCACGGACACGTTTTGCAAGAAAGCGATACGCTCTCGCA